AGAAGCTTGAAAATAAATATGCATTACATTATGCATCGAATCAGTTGTCTTTTAAAAAAATGTATTATTAATTGGTAGTTAATACATATATCATATCATTCCATAGTTCAATCATGTCAAGCAGTACAATTGCTATCACAATCAATTTCCAAACATTCTTTCCCTTCCTGGACTCCTTGACATCGTTTCCCCACTCCCACCACCACCCCAGCCCCTCACCCCTAAACCCTTATTCTACTTGCTGTTCCTGTGTATGGGTTCATCAATCCTGGGTTTCATATACTGAAAAACAGAAAGACATATAACACAACTTCAAGAGGGTGACCCATCCAATGACATGACACATCTGAGATAAACCCCCTAATATGAACAAATAAACAAAAAAACAAAACAAAAATGCAGGCAATGTTGAAAGCCAGATCAGGTCCAGCATGCATGGGGGGGTGGTGGTGGTCAGTTGTTCAAGTTTTAACTGTTCAAATCAGGTTTATCCCTTCGATCTTCTATACTAATCTCTTTCATGCACTCTATTTAGTAACTAGTTTTCCCCCACTCCTCAGTTATGGATACATTATGAATAGAGGGAGGCTTAGTTTTCCTATGTAGTTCCCACAAATGTATCTTGGGCTCCCACTGTCATCCATAGCCTTATGCAAACTGGAGTCTCACAATTTAGGCTGTGATACTAATCCCTCCTGCGACTAAGGATTATATGATTATAATCTGGTGACTAAAGAGGATGCACTTCTTCCCTGTGGACTTAGTTGACATCTCACTTAGATGGCTGCTTGTTTGGAGACACGCCTTTAAGACCCCAGACAGTAGTCTATTTGATAGCTGGGCACCATCTAATTTCTTCACCACACTTTGCTATAGTGCTTGTGTCTTCTGTGTTCCCTTCCTAACCATGAGTATTGAGCAGGGCCATGATGTAAGAACTAATTGTTCTTAAATTGGAGCTAGGATTTAGTGCAAGCCCCAAATCCATTCCTGGATTTATGATTTTTTAGTTTGTTGTTTTTTATCTGCCTTTGACTCCCTTTAAAAACCTTCTTGTTAATGTATGATAAAGAGTCTTATTGATCATCCCCTTGGAGCATAACCATTTTCCATTAATATTGTCTTTGATTAGCTCCTGGTACTAATTTTTTTAAAACCCTGTTGAGAGAGGGATGTTGAGCAAATGTAGGCTAACTCCATATCACAGTACCTGAATTACTCACTTGTACAGAAGCGGTCATTTCGTGGCTGGACACTATTTAAACAAACAATGGGAGTTAATTGTCAGGGGAATTTATAATAATAATCACTGAGCATGTCAGCCACAGGTTTGCTGGCAAGTTGTCCTTTTTTTTAATGGGTTAGTTTATTTCTAAAATTATCTTAGATTTTATATAAAACACAGAACCTGTCATATAATATCACTGTACCTGAATAATAACTTTTCATGCAAAAGAAAAACAAGTTACTAGTCAATTAGAATGGGACATCATGTATTACTTAAGGCTTTCTTGTACTTCTTTTATAAATCCGTTTTGACCTCTAATAATACAGCCTTTTAGTTTATTACTAAAAAATTACATTTTTCTTTTTTTTCTTCTTTGCCTGCTCTCTTCTTTCTCTCCTTTGTTCCCTTCCTTCTGCAATAATTCCCTGTCTCTTCTCTCTATGGTGTTTGATTTTGGGCCCTGAGGATACATGTTAACCAGTACAAATCCCTTGCCCTCTTAGAGATTTCATTTTAGTTGGAGAAGCAGAAAAAAATTAAACATATGAATAATAAAACTTTATATAATAATATGTTTCATGAAAAGGACAAAGGAGTAAAGAGTGGCTGAAGGATTGAGGGAATTATCTATTTTCCATGGTGGTTAGAAATGATAATATTTAAGCTGAACCTAAATTATGTTTGGGAAAGAAGTGATTTGGAATGGAAAGAAATACTGAGATTATCATACATCTATCTTCCCTCTTCCCCTGCAGGTGTTCCCTGAAGCAGTGGACCCTGGAGATGTGGTTGCACAGCTTGAATGTACGTCTTTAACTTTTCATTTCTAGCTTCTGGGATATTTTAGAATTTATCATTCTTATGCTGTTTAATTGTGAGTTAAATAAAAGTTAAAGGTTGCAGAGAAGCAGGGGATTGTTTGATTTTCTGTTCGATATTCTGTGGAAAATGAGACTTAGTTGAACTTATTGTTGAGTGATTAAGATGATATGGAATGTTTATCATCTAAGGATAGAGATTCATGCTTGATCGTGGTTTTTTCACCGCAGACAAGAATATGCCAATAACCTTGGTGTATTGTAAACCAAGACAGTGAATCATACAGGATCAAAAGGCGGTACCTTAAAACATACATGCTTTTGAATTTTTTGGATTTAGTATGTTAATAAATTATTTGGACGATACATGTTTACAACTGCCGGTAACAGTAAACGCTTGCAGGTTCTAGCAATGACCTGTGTCAGTTGGTTCTGACTCTTAGTGGCCCTACGTCCAATAGGATGAACCACTTCCTGGCCCTGCCCCAGCCGCACAGTTGTTATGCTGGAGTCCGTTGTTGCCGCCGCCGCCATGTTAGTCCATCTTATTGACAGTCTTCCTCTTTTCCGCTGACATTCTGCTTTACCCAGCATAGTCCATCCCCCACCCCCACCCCAGGTCTGTTCTTTCTTGATGGCCTATCTGAAGAATGGGAGTTGAAGTGTAGCCATCCTCGCTTGTAAGGAGCATTCTGGCAGTACTTCTTCCAAGACAGCTTTCTTTGTTCTTCTTACAGTTCATGGTACTTTCAATATTTTTCACCAACACCATATTTCAAATGCAGTAATTCTTTTGCTGTTTTCCTTGTTCATTGTCTAACTTTTGCACGCATAGGAGGTGCTTAAAATGACCATGGCTTCAATCAGGCATGCCTCCGTCTTCCAAGTGACAATCTGGCACTTCAACACTTGTGCAGCGGGTCTTGAGCAGCAGATTTGCCCAGTGAAATGCATGGTTTGATCTCTTCACTGCTGCTTCCATGAGCATTGATGGTGGCTCAAAGCAATATGAACTTCTTGATGACTTAATTTTTTCCCCGTTTATCATGATGATGCTTATTGTTCCAATTGTGAAGATTTTGTGTTTGTTTTATTACATTGAGTTCTAATCCACTCAGAAAACTGCAGTTCTTGATCTTCATCAGCAGTTGCTTCAAGTCCTCCTTGCTTTCCACATGCAAGGTTGTGTTATCTGCATATCACAGATTGTCAACCTTCCTTCACACCTGGTGCTGCATTCTTCATATAATCCAAAGTGCAGTCATTATTTGTTCAATCAGCATACGTATTAAATAAGTATGATTAAATAAGTGATGGAACCCTGACATACACCTTTCCTGATTTTGCACCATGTTATAGTCCCTTCTTCTGTTTGAACATCGGCCTCTTGGTCCTTGTACAGGTCCCACATGAGCACAATGAAGTGCTCTGGAATTTCCATCCTTCTGAATGGTATCCATGCTCTGTTCTGATCCATAGACTCAAATACCTTTGCGTAGTCCATAAAATGCAAACCAACAACTTTCTGTTATTCTCTGCTTTTAGCCAAAGTCCATCTGGTACCACCAGTGATGTCTTTCGTGCCATGTCTCCTTCTGAATCCTGCTTGAATTGTTGGCAGCTTTCCCTTTCGATGTATTGGCACACCAGTGTTGAATGATATTCAACAAATTTTACTTGCATGTGATATCAATGATACTATTTTATAATTTGCATATTTTCTTGGGCTGCTTATCTTTTTTCTTTTTTGGGGGGGGCTGCTTTTCATTGGAATGAGCACAAATAGGAATCTCTTCCAGTTGGTTGGTCAAGTAATTGTCTTCCAATTTTTTTTTTGCATAGATAATTGGATGCTTCTAGTGCTTCAACAGCTTGTTGATTTCATTTAAGAGTCTATCAATTCCTGGAGCCTTGATTTTCAGTAATGATTTTAGCACAGCTTGGACTTCTTCCTTCAATATTTTTTGATCATATGCAACCTCTTGGAATAGTTGAACGTCGCTCACTTTTTAGTACAGTGATTTTGGTCTTCCAAAGTCTTTTGGAGTTTACTGTATCATTCAGTATTTTCCGCATAGAATCATTCAATATTACAACTTAAGACTTAAATGTTCTTCAATTCTTTCAGTTTACCATGGAAATGAAATAGCAGTTTGTGTGTTTTCTTCATCATATTTTTTTAAACAACATGTGTTTGTAGAAGGGGCCCTTTAGAATGGATTTGATTGATTGCTTCCTATAGATGTTCTTTCGTTTGTTTATCACTTTGTAAGATGATAATTACATATCGAGATCTGATAAGCTGCAGGTTTGTTTTATTTATCTGTTTTGAAAGAATCCTTTATAATTGTTGTTATGGCCTTACTGTTGCATCATATCAAGTGGCACATCCTTTCTAATTATCTTAAATTGAGGGGTACTGAGACTGATCATTTGGCTTCAGGCCATCATCAGCCTTATGTGTCTATTATAAAGTTTCTCATCAGCCTTTTGTCTAATAACTTGAACGTCCTTTAAGATCCATCTTGTCATTAAAGTTAGAGAATGGGGCTTTTTCTAATAGGATCATTTTTTTTTCCTTTAGAGGCTAGACTTCTATATCAGAAACCCTCCTTAGCAGCAGCTTGGTTACTCTGCAATTCAGATTTTCTAGGAAAGGCAGGCATGCTTCAGTCTTTTATGCTTTATTGAGGTATAATTTACATAGCCTAAAATTTACCTGTTGTAGCTATAGTTACATGATTTTTTAAAAGATTTTTTTCATCACCACGTGAACTGCATGGCGGGAGGCCACGTTTGGCCTCTTGTTCCTTCCCTGTTGCCACAAGGCCTATCTCCACCCTCCTCCTTTCTTTCCCTATGCTGAGACCAAGTGTTCATTCCACAACACTGTGCTTCTCTTCTGAGTATGGTAATATGTTGTCATGGCCCACACCGAACTGACAGTGAAGAGAGTTTATTAGGGAATTTAACATCAGTCACTAGCCTACAGCAATATCTCTTCTTAGCCAGCAGCCAAATCTCTCTCTGGTCCCCAGCTTTTGACACGTAGTCCCTTGGTCTGTGCCAAGGCCTGTGCCAAAGATTATTGATCTCTCTTACAGTCTCATTGTCTCTGTTCTGTCCCATGGCCTCCCTTCCTTGGCCTCTGGTTTCGGTCTGGCTCCTTTGCTCCCTTGGTCACCATGCTGTAGCCTCTGATGCTGCTGACATTAGCTTTGCCATTGTAAACAGCAGTCTTGAAAGTGCTCTCCTCATGGCTCTTCTGTTGGTCCTAGGCCTTCTCCCTCTTCCTGTCACGATGGTTCATCCTTACAGCCAGGGGAGGGGCAACTAATATTGACCAGCGCCTCCATTTGCATTATCTTACCTACTCATTAGGTGATAGCCATAGAAGGAGCCCTGGAGGTGTAGTGATTGCGCATTGGGCTGCTAACCATAAGGGCAACAATAGTTCCAAACCATCAGCCGCTTCCAGGGAAAAAGACAGTCGTCGTCGTTTTACTCCTGTAGAGTTAGAGCTTCAGGACCTCACCAGAAGTTCTACCAGCTCTAACCTGCCTTAAAGAGTCACTGACTCAGTGGCTGTGAGTGTGAGTGACAGAGATGTGGATGGAAGGACTAGGTTAAGAAATTTCTTTTCCAGTTTAGAATGTTGTTTCTGAATCCAGTTTAGAATGTTGTTTCTTCCCCAAAAGTTTCTGGGGAACATTTGCAGTGAATCCCATGACTACCTCACTCTCTAGCATTTACTAATCTGTTTCCTGTGTATAGATTTACCCTTTCTACTGATTTTTGTAGGTGGAATTATATATTATGTAGTCTTTTGTGTCTGTCTTTTTTTCTTAGTACCATGTTTTGATGTATATCCATATTATTCCATATATCAGAAGTTTATTCCTTTTGATTGTTCAATAGAATTGCACTGTGTGGGACCTTTATTTCCCCTGTTTTCTGTAAGATAGTGAGGGTGGCACAGCACTGGGCAGTGTGCCCTTCTGTTGTATGTAGGGTCGCTATGCGTATGAGCAGCCACCACTAACAGCTCACAACTCACAACAACAACTGCTACCAATTTTTCAGCAAGACTTGACGTTTATCGCTAAGGAGGGGGAATACGAGTCTTTTGAGTTATGCTACACCTGTCCTGATTACCTTTGGATCAGGTGGTGAATGTGTCAGCTCTCCACGGATGTAGATCTCTAATGGAAGGAGAAAGGCTGAAAGTGTTTGCTGTGGAAGCAGCTCACAGATTCCCCTGCAGTGAGACTCCATAGTACTGCACCTTTAAATTCAAAACACTTGGGTCCAAACAAGTAAGCCAGTTTGACTTTATAGCAATGGAAGCAAAGAGAAGAGTTTTAAGAAAGGAAACAGTGAACCAATATAGATTTTTCTGCAATTTCTACCTACCTGTTTTACTGCAGGACTGTGAGTCACATATATCATTTTCCATTGTTGAAATACAAAGTGCCTGTGTCCGTTTGCTTGACTAGAACATACTTTCTAAAAGCAAGTTGAGCATGGTCCAAAAAATAAACAAATAAATAATGAAGCTGCGGGGACAGCCGTCGCTTGAAAGTCTTTTAATAGGTTGGGTCCTTGAGTAAATTCAAATTAAGGGCTCACAACAGACCTTGATACACAGTATTCCCTTACTGTTATTAGTTTATTATTAATGTTATTATGTTATTAGTATTAATATTATTAGTATTGTTATTATTACAGAACCTGCCAGATTCATTTCACACCACATCTGTACCTCTAAAGAAACTGCAGAAAACCAGAATCATTTCAAACTCTGGGGAAATAAGACAATGATATTAGAAGCCTAGAGCATAATAGGGCAATTTCATATTTACAGAGAAGGTATTCTCTTTAGGAAAATGGTTTTAATCTTGAGATCTACCAGAGTAAAATTAATTATGACTAAAGCTACACCCTGAGAACTGTCCTTAGGCAAGAGAGAGAATAAGATTTGTTTGC